TTATTGATTTTTTACAGAGAGGAAGGGAGAGGGATAGAGAGTTAGAAACATCGATGAGTTAGAAACATCGATGAGAGAGAAACATCGATCAGCTGCCTCCTGCACACCCCCCACTGGGGATGTGCCCGCAACCAAGGCACATGCCCTTGACCAGAATCGAACCCGGGACCCTTCAGTCCGCAGGCTGACGCTCTATCCACTGAGCCAAACCAGTTAGGGCCAAATATTATTTATGAAGGTAGTTATCTACTCCCAGAAAGGAGAAGCAGGCAACAGGTCCCAATCACAGGGATCGTTTCAAAGGGTAAAGCTATGCTCTCTGAGGACATGGGGGCTGTGGACAATTGACCCTGGGAACAGAGGTTTATTTAGAAGTGCAATCTGTAAACTTGATATTTTCTTTCTCTGTGGACTTTAGTACTGAAGCTCATTTTTTAATTCATATACAGATAAGCATTTTTTACAGCAATGTCTCTCTTAAATATGCAGTTTGTATGTTTAGTCATTAGATTACATTATTTATTACTGGCCCACTTTGTACTGGTTTTCTTTATATATCATGTGTGCTACAGTAAGTTTCAAAGATTGTGCCCAGAGGTACATGTTTTCTGAAACCTCTCCTCATGAATAGGCGAAAAGGACATGCACTATGATTGCTGCCACCTCTTACAGAAGCCTTTGGGGAAAGTGCCTACATACCTCCTGTGCCTTTGAAATCTTAGAGAGCCAGCATTACTAAGCAACGGCCCTTTTGTCCTGCTGCCTTGAGGTCAAAATGTAAATATAGGCCCTAGCTGGTTTGGCTCAGTGGATAGAGCATAGGCCTGTGGACTGAAGGGTCCTGGGTTCAATCCCCAGTAGGGGGTGTGCAGGAGGCAGCCAATCAATGATTCTCATCATTGATGTTTCTATCTCACTCTTCCTTTCCCTTCCTCTCTGAAATAAATAAAAATATTTTTTTAAAATGTATATACAGTATATAGGTTTAGCCCAAACAGCCAGCAATCCTTACTCTGTTTGGTTTCATTTCTAATCCTTCTAAGCTAGAGCCGACTTAACAGTGTGGTTTCTATAATGTAAGTAATAAGCGACCTTGTGTCTTGTCCCTGTGTCTAGAATGCCCTTCCCATAGATCCCTGTGCTCCTTTAGGTCTGGATCCAAAGTCTTCCATTAGGCCCCCTGTGACTGCCTTTTTATCAATTGTCATCTGCTCCACCCCCACCCCAATGCGCCTCACCCTGTTCTATTTGTGTTTCTATAGCACTAATGGCCTTTTAATCTGCTTTATAATAAGTCTTTGTCCCTCTATCTTGATAAAATATGAGCTCCTGGAAGCTATTCTCAAAAATGTATGTTGCCCTAGCTGGTTTGGCTCCGTAGATAGAGCATCCCAGGTTCGATTTCAGCCCCTCCAGTGTGGGGCATGCAGGAGGCAGCCAATCATTGATTCTCATCATTGATGTTTCTATCTCTCCCTCTCCTTTCCTCTCTGAAATCAATAAAAAAATATATATTAAAAAAAAAGTATGTTAACTGAATTGGTCTGCCCTGAGGGGGCACTTTTTTTCTAATCTATGCTCCCACACTCCACCAGCTGCTGCACTGATTCCTGGCAGAACCAGCTGCTGGCAGTAGTAGTAGCTCCGCCTTTGTCTCACACAGTCAGGGCTGGTTGCGTATTAGCAAGGAGGTTGGGAGTCAGAAAACAAATCGGACTGAGTGTACAGGTGGGTTCCGGTTACTAATCCAGTTCTAACTAACTTTAGTAAAGTACTGTGTGACCGATCTAGGGTCCAGGAAATCTGGATCCCATTCTTGGCTCAGCTACTGATTTCCGTTGCAGTGTTAGCCATTGCTCAGTTTTATAAATATTGCATAGGAATTTGAGTGGAAGCATATGTCCCACTCTGGTTGCCTCATTTATAGAGGGATTCTGACATTCAGGAGTCACCAGAGAAGGAAGCCCAGTGGGAGGGGATGGAAACCAGGACCCTGAGGAGGCCTGGAAGGAACTGGAAGGCTCTTGGGGGGCAGAATTTGATAGCCCTCATCAGATACTCAATGGCTGTCAGGTACAGGAGAGCATGGATCCTATATTTGCCAGAGGATAGAATGTGAAGTACACTGAGCCCCGTCTCTCCTCCACTTATTATTGTTCACCTCTTAGTTAATTGAGCCCTTCCTATGG